CTCAAAACTCTATTTTTATGCGCATATATAATTTTTATGAGTCGCTAGTCTACAAAAATAAAGCTTTTATTAATATCAGCTCCAAAGGTTTGGATGATATGGAATTTCTATTTACCACTTCCAGTAGGCTTGTAGGTTGGGAATGTATGTTCTCGACCAGAAGTGACGCCCTTCATGTTAAGCTGATAAGGATTATTTATGCTAAAGGCGAGTATGTGTGCGCGTCAAGGTTAAAGTCAAGTATCCTGTCTGTAAACAGTGTGCATAGCTTGAGTCTTGTAAAATGTCCCAAGGTGTTAGTGACTTGCCACTTTTTTCGTTGTATTTCTCACCATTGAAATTTGAATTAAACTTTTTTTTCCTTTAAAATTTGTATTATTATTACTTAATATTCATTAAGTTCATATAATATCACTATCGTGATGGCGATATCATTGCTCTGTATAGATTTAGGATTTGTAATTTATGTTTATATTTTTATTTTATGACTCAAGTTATATCAATGTATGCTTAACTAAATGAATAGAATAAAAAAAACTAATAACGTTTATAGCCTGCTAGATATAGAATTTCTTGATTTGCCACGCCCCTCGTTGGAATCTTAATTTAATCTTAATCTTATCTTTTAATTCTAACATTTAATCAGACGAAAGGCAAATTCCAAACCTCTAGCTTGAATAACGGCGAAATGGTCTGCGTTCATACAGATAGATAAACAGACAGCAAACCCGATATTCCCGATAACAAATATATGTTTAATTTGCTTCAATTCGTGAATAAAAATAAACAAATTAGGAATTATGACTAGGCAAATATATTTCGTTTTTAGTTAGTTCGTTTTAGATAGTTCAACAGAATAACCCACTTACCACATTTTAAGGCTATAGTACTAAAATTGTACACGATAAAGTTTCCATGTTTAGACCTCCTCATATTCGGGGAGTCGCAGGCTTATAGACACTATTGTTGAAAATGTCGTCGAGGTAAAGGAACAAATGGAAGCTTAGAGGGGCGACGCCTTTTGATTAAATATATTATCAACTAGGTTACTCACGTTGTGTAATAGGAAAATAAGACACAATCGTTTTTCCCATTTCTATAATTTGGTGTTCATTACAAACTCCCAAAAAATATTTTAGCAATATAAAAGCTTTAAGTTTATTCGCTATAGTTAATAATGTAATAAGTGTCTTCAGGCACTCTTAAGCGTTAGAGGGTCAAAATAATTTTTTTTACATGCTGCACATAGCTTCTTACTTTCTTGAAAATGGGAATTCAGGTCATAGCGGGGTTATTGAAATTTATGTAACAGGCAGAAAGAGACATGGCCGACATCATAAAGCAGTCAGTGTATATGACGAGCAAAATTGTAAGACATGTTCAAGGTTCTCACTTCAACAGTCTGTATTATCTTTTCTACTTCATGCATGATTATGATCATAGTCTTGTTATTTTGTTAGTGAGAGAATGGGATCAAAGAAGAGGTACTTTTGAAACACAACCAATTGTATTTTAGTGTTATTCATCTTGCTGTCTTCTTGGTTGGTGATATTGATGGCGGGTATGTGAGAAAATGATATAGAAGGACTAGCTGCAGTCGAGAGCCGACAACTAATTTTTTTAAATTATTGAATTAATTATAAGAAAAAAGCTTACACAATTTTTTTTCTTAGTGATTTTCTAGCATATGGAGAAAATTTGTAAATTATTATACCCTGATCCCATTGAAAATGGGAAATCAGGGTATAATGGTTTTGTGCAAATGTATGTAACAGGCAGAAGGAGGCGTGGTAGACCCCATAAAGTATATATATTCTTGATCAGGACGACAAGCCGAGTCGATTGAGACCTGTCAGTCTGTCTGTCCGTCCGTCTGTCCGTATGTGTGAACGCGTGGATCTCAGCATCTATAAGCTAGAGACTTGAATTTTTTGTAGGTCCGTGTATAGCAGGCGCAGGTCAAGTTTGTTTCAAATATTCGATAACTATTTAATTGTTATCGAATAAAAACATTATTGAAATGCAGTCAATAAATATGTCTCGAACGTCTTAAGAGCTAGAGCCTTCTAATTATGTATTTAGTTTTATGTATATTTTATGCAATTTTGATTTTTGTTGGATTTTGGATCACGACTCCAAATATCCCCAAATTCTTAAAATTTAAGTTCAGTTGGAAATAGGGCCATTATGTGAAGGCGTTTGCATTACAACCAAGCCAATAGGATATGTATATCATATGCTGAAAATTTCATTAAAATCCATTAAGTAAAACAGAAGTTATTAAACAAAACGTTTGGCCAATTTGCAAAAGCACATGTCGGCAGCGCCACGCACTCGCATTTTTCCTATGCGTGTGCACACATACATTCAAATGCGTGTATTCTTTTCTATTCCAAGAATCGAAATTGCGAATGAATACTGCTTGAATTATCAGCTGCTATTCAACTTCAAATTTGCAACTCTTCTTGCAAGAGGTGCAGTGGCTGCGTTGGTAGAGGCGACGCTAGTATGCAGCTAGGTCTAGGGTTCGAGACCGGTGAAGATGGAATATTTTTTACTGTTTTATTTATTTATTTTTTTTTTAATTATGAAGTGGCGGTGTTGGTAGAGTTGGTGCACGTTGCGCAAACAATCCGGGTTCGAATCCTGGTCTCGTAATGTCGTTTTATTTGTTTTATTTTTTTTTTAATACTCAATACAAACTACGGAAAATATTAAAAAACGCAAATAGGACTGGGATCAGGGTATCTCCTAGTCGGGCACCCCGACTAGAGCTTTCTTACTTGTTGAACTATACCTAAGTATTTTGAGTTTTGTGAACAAGCGATTTTACAAATCGGTTAAATACTGTACAGCTGTTTTTTGGGTACTATCGACATTCACAATTTATCCCCAGATCGAAAGCTCAAAACTCTATTTTTATGCGCATATATAATTTTTATGAGTCGCTAGTCTACAAAAATAAAGCTTTTATTAATATCAGCTCCAAAGGTTTGGATGATATGGAATTTCTATTTACCACTTCCAGTAGGCTTGTAGGTTGGGAATGTATGTTCTCGACCAGAAGTGACGCCCTTCATGTTAAGCTGATAAGGATTATTTATGCTAAAGGCGAGTATGTGTGCGCGTCAAGGTTAAAGTCAAGTATCCTGTCTGTAAACAGTGTGCATAGCTTGAGTCTTGTAAAATGTCCCAAGGTGTTAGTGACTTGCCACTTTTTTCGTTGTATTTCTCACCATTGAAATTTGAATTAAACTTTTTTTTCCTTTAAAATTTGTATTATTATTACTTAATATTCATTAAGTTCATATAATATCACTATCGTGATGGCGATATCATTGCTCTGTATAGATTTAGGATTTGTAATTTATGTTTATATTTTTATTTTATGACTCAAGTTATATCAATGTATGCTTAACTAAATGAATAGAATAAAAAAAACTAATAACGTTTATAGCCTGCTAGATATAGAATTTCTTGATTTGCCACGCCCCTCGTTGGAATCTTAATTTAATCTTAATCTTATCTTTTAATTCTAACATTTAATCAGACGAAAGGCAAATTCCAAACCTCTAGCTTGAATAACGGCGAAATGGTCTGCGTTCATACAGATAGATAAACAGACAGCAAACCCGATATTCCCGATAACAAATATATGTTTAATTTGCTTCAATTCGTGAATAAAAATAAACAAATTAGGAATTATGACTAGGCAAATATATTTCGTTTTTAGTTAGTTCGTTTTAGATAGTTCAACAGAATAACCCACTTACCACATTTTAAGGCTATAGTACTAAAATTGTACACGATAAAGTTTCCATGTTTAGACCTCCTCATATTCGGGGAGTCGCAGGCTTATAGACACTATTGTTGAAAATGTCGTCGAGGTAAAGGAACAAATGGAAGCTTAGAGGGGCGACGCCTTTTGATTAAATATATTATCAACTAGGTTACTCACGTTGTGTAATAGGAAAATAAGACACAATCGTTTTTCCCATTTCTATATCATCGGTTGCTTTAAAGTTTGAGGATGCTCAAATTCTATGGTTGCGCAGATAAATATATTTTTATACCTTTATACCTATTAAATGGGTTCAAGATATAACAGTTTTGATATATACAGGTAGAAATATGTCCAAAAAGTATATATTCTTGATAACGATCTGTCCATCTGTCCGTAAGTGTGAGCGCGTCGTGAACTTTTTTGTAGGTCCATGTATAGCACGCACATATCGAGTATGTTTCAAATAATAGGTAATTGCATCGTTTGTTTGTCGTTTGTTATCGATTAAAAACGTGATCATGATACAGTTATTAAATTATATCTATATATATTAAACTATAACTCTCTTAAGAGTTTTGTCTTAAAAATCTGCATTTAGCTTATTATATCTTTGATTTTTATTGTATTTGGGTCAAAATTTCCCCAAGTTCATTAAATTTAGTTTCATTTGTTAATACTAATAAGCTGACAAAAATTTCAATAGATGTTTTAGATAATATGTTAAAAATTTCAATGAAGTCCACCAAATGACACAGAAGTTATTGAACAAAACATTTAGCCAATTTTTCGAATCTCGTGGCAATAAGCTCCAATCGCCATTATTTTTCCAATACATGGCATACATATTTTCAAAGGCGTGTATTTTTTCTATTCGAGGAATCGTAACTGCGATTCAATTGTGTTTGAATTGTCAGCTGCTACTTTACTTGAGATTTGGAACATCTTGCATAAGCAATGCAGAAGGAAAGTCATCACCGACCTTGTATAATACATGCACAGAGAAGTGTGTGGAATTACATGGAAACTAGGTAGAAAAATTAAAATTGTGCTTAAGCAAAAAGATTTTGTGTATCGTCTAAGTCGGAATATTTTCAAATAGTTCCTAAAAAAGCATTCAGCGAGTTAATGAGTTAGATGTCTTAGGTGTTTCACATACATTGCTCATAATAAGTAGATAATTAAACGATTAATAGTAATTTGTTGCACTGTTTTTCAGGTTTCCTGGGTCAGACACCGAGATATACATCTACTAACCGTGGGCCGTTATACGTACACATCAGATCAGCGCTTCGAAGCGATGCATTCGCCACATGCTGAAGACTGGACACTTCGTATTCGTTATGCTCAGCGTAAGGATTCAGGCATATACGAGTGTCAGATCTCTACAACACCACCAATTGGTCACTCGGTATATTTAAATATAGTGGGTGAGTGCACAAATTATGAATCTGTTTCAGTACAAGTTAAGGTTTTCAAAAAACCAAAAATTACAGTTAGAAATTCAAGATTTCGTGACTAAGTTCCTGTTGACCTTAATTGATTTACCAAAAATTATGTATATAAACTTCATGAGGGTGTGGCAAATCGGAAAATCGGAACTGGCATCGTCTAGAACACTGCAAAATACTTACTTATTATGAATTTTTGTAATTATTTATCCAATGGGAAAAAGCCAAACCTTGAACGATCTCTATGCAGTCGGTAGCATCCGATTGTAATGTTCTTAATTATTTCTACATTCTTAACTTTTATATTAACTTGAATATTTTTCAATGCAGAGCCTGTTACCGAAGTTGTCGGCGGCCCTGAGCTACACATTAATAAGGGTTCTACTATTAATTTAACTTGCATTGTTAAATTTGCACCCGAGCCACCCCCCACCGTCATCTGGTCGCACAACCGTCAGGTGAGTGTCGTTCTTCAATCATCAACGTATACCATCCACTTTACGAAATTTTAATTTTTTACTATAATTCATTTTTTTTTAATTTAATTTTTTTGTTATCCATAAAAATCAATAGTTTGCTTATTTTTCTTTGATCTTAATTAAAACACAAGATGCAATAAAAAGATTTTGTGTACTAGAGACTTGTGTTGTGGCCTATATATACATACATCTAGATCGTAATTACCATGCTCTGAAAACTTGATAATTTATAGTTAAGGGAAATTCTTTCCATCTAGTCGGTCTACTTTATTTGATGGTTGGTTTTCCTTATTGCTTTTCTGTAACCAGATTTTCTGAAAAAAAAGAGGGGATTATTTGCTTAGAGGCTTTAAGGTCGTCGTTGAACTCTACCTCATATGAATAGACCTAAGACTCGTCTCCTGTTACGGTATCATAGATGTAAGTTTTGTACTCACTGCTCTCATTTTGCCTTCTAATTTACTTCCTTTTTTTATCATTTCGAAATATGATTGTAGGTAATGGAAAATAATTAGTTCCCAAGATGAAGTTATTAATTCTACTTCAATTAGGCGCACTGATTCTCCCCTCCCTCTGCTAGTTTGTTTCGTGTTTCTTTGGTGTATGTCTTCATTTTTTAGTTCACTTAACGGGCATATTTTGTTGATAGGTCGTGTAAGTGACCCATCTTGTGATTTAATTTGTATGACTCTAACTTTATTATCTTTGAATTTGTGAACTTCTTTTATTATTCATAATGGCCATCTATAAGAGTGACAAATTCCATCTTTTTGTAGCATTTTTTCTAAGCCAAGAAACCGAACTATTGCTTGCGGCTTTAATTAATTTTCTTCGTTGGAGGGAATCGTTACAATATATAATCTTATTGAATATTTCCTTGGTGTACTAAAGAAATTGTTCTTTGTCGTTCCTTGTTTCTTCGGTGTTTAACTCCCAGCAACGATTTAAATATTCTATCATGCAATACGTCACTTGCGGTTTTAACAGACATAATCTATTGTTTTGTTGTACCTGCGTTTCACAGTGACTTAGAATTTACACTTATACATGCACACCTATGTTTGTAAACTTAAAAAAAATGTCGACTAAAATAAATTCTATGCAACAGAATGTTTGTAAAACAAGTAAGAAAGCTCAAGTCGGGGTGCTCGACTAGGAGATACCCTAATCCCAGTCCTATCTGCGTTTTTTAATATTTTCCGTAGTTTGTAACGAGTATTCAAAAAAATAAAATAAAAATCGACAGTACGACACCAGGATTCGAACACACTATTTTTACGCAACGCGCACCAACTCTACCAACACCGGCGCTTCATAATTTAAAAAAATAAACCTCCACTGGTCTCGAACCCTGGAACTAGCTGCTTACGAACGCCGCCTCTACCAACGTAGCCACTGCAAAACTTGAAATAATAGTTGCAAATTTGAAGTTGAGTAGCAGCTTAAATAATTCAAGCAGTATTCAATGGCAATTTCAATTTTTCGAATAGAAAAGAATACACGCATTTAAATGTATGTGTGCACACGCAATAGGAAAAATGCGTGCGCTTGGCGCTGCCGACATGTGCTTTTGCAAATTGGCCAAACGTTTTGTTTAATAACTTCTGTTTTACTTAATGGATTTTAATGAAATTTTCAGCATATGATATACATATTCTATTGGCTTGGTAGAGATGTCAACGCCGTCACATAATGGCCCTATTTCCAACTAAACTTAAAATTTAAGAATTTAGGGAAATTTGTAGCCGGTATCCAAAATCCAACAAAAATCAAAATTGCATAAAATATACATAAAACTAAATACATAATTAGAAGGCTCAAGCTCTTAAGACGTTCGAGACATAATATATTTACTGCATTTCAATAATGTTTTTATTCGATAACAATTTAATGAGAATAGTTATCGAATATTTGAAACAAACTTGACCTGCGCCTACAAAATTCAAGTCTCTAGCTCTTATAGATGTTGAGATCCACGCGTTCACACATACGGATCGACGGACAGACAGACGGACAGGGCTCAATCGACTCGGCTTGTCGCAATGATCAAGAATATATATACTTTATGGGGTCTACCACGCCTCCTTCTGCCTGTTACATATATTTGCATAAGACCATAATACCCTGATTTCGCATTTTCAATAAACAAGTAAGAAATCTCTATCCAAGGTGCCCGACTAGGTGATACTGGACAGGGAAACTAACCGCCTGCTGGGCATTAACGTCTGGACAATCAGGACAACTATGATGAGCACAGAAGCTGGGACCGCAAGCCGCGTAGCTCACTGCACTCCAAAATATCGAAGAAGTAACAGCAAATGCCCAGCACCAAGATACGCAACGGGTACAATGCGTTGCCAAGAGCTCGAATAGCCGGAGCGGATCGGGTGCCAGCAAGCTGCTAGATCTGGTTGGCGGTACCATCGGTATCGGAATTGGTGCCGGCATTGGTGTAGGTGCCTGCGCCGTGTAGCATAGCAATTTAAGCAGCTCCTCAGAGCTCAGCCACAAATCACCGATAAATGTTGCCGGAACCGGGCATGACAGCGACCACAGATGTGGTCGCCTCTGCTGTGGTGACTGCTGGCGTACTGCTGTCGCATGGTAGCCCATGGTGGCTCGTAGCGCTCAACTCCAGGTCTTTTCAAGCTCAATTAGGGCATCCATAGCGGGGGTATTGTTGGTGCTGCCAGCGGTGTGGCCAATACTGTTATGAATAATGGACACAATCCCACCCATTGGTGCTAACAACAATAACAATAACAGCAATATTGCTATTGGCTGAGAGAAAAAGAGTAAGAGCAAAGCAGGTAAATGCTTTTTGTTTATCCTTCGTTCACTTGTTACAATTTTAGTGCCCTTATATAAAATGCTCTTACGTAAACTTACACAGCATTTGTGATGCGATTCACAAAAAAAGTTTTCCCTGATAAAGATTTTTCTTATATGCCCAATTGTAGCGTGTCAAGTAATGAAAACGCTATTAGTTACAGTACTGGAGACTTGAAATTTGATAATTTGATTGATTAAAACAAGTAAAAAAAACACTATTCGAGGGGCTCTACTAAGCTCTTATCTCAGTCCCATATGCGTTTTTTAATAGTTAGGATCGAGTGTTAAAAAAAATAAATGAAAACGACACCAAGATTCGAACCTACATTGCGCATCATATCTACCAACACCGACACTTCATATTATTAAAAAGAAAACATAAAAAATATCCCTTCGTCACCTATCTCAAACCCAGAGATTGTCAGCAAGTTGCAAGTCTCAACTTAAGTAGAAGCTGATAAATCTAGAAAAATTCAATCGCAATTTCGATTCTTTGAATTGCAAAGAATTTATTTAAATGGATGTATGCACATGCATAGGAAAAATGCGTACGCTTGGCGCTGCTTGCTACGTGCTTTTGCAAATTGGCCAAATGTTTTGCTTAATAACTTTTTTTGTCGCTGTGAATACAAATAACTGTGGTGGTGTTCAGTTGTGTAATAATCTTTATTCGTCTGAGCAAGAGTTCTTATACCCTGGCTCATGCGTATTTCATCTCTTAACCTAAGTACATTATGTAATGAGTGGAGCTCCAAGCGGGAGACATACTATGCTCTCCCGTTGTGTAGCTTCATATATATAGCTTGTATATACTTATATGCATATGGCATAAACATTAGCCAAGCGGCATAGACCTTAGGCAAAGTGCGTACGCGGCACGCTGCTGGTCAGACCACACTTAAGTGGCTGATCATAATCCCATTGTTTATCTTAGCGCTCGCTCTATGTTTATGCGTAGGGACAAATGTCACTATATGCGTATTTAGTATACACTATCATATGTTAGGCATATGACGCATTTATATGTAGAATACTCAACATTGCTTCGGGTATTATTGATATGTTATTAAATATAATACAGTATGTTCATGCCTGAACAGTCGTTTAGCGAATTTAAATTAAATTTTCAACATATTATTAACCAATTCAAAATGCGAAATATAAAGAATTTGGGGAAATTTGTCAGAATATGACAAAATTGTAAAAATATTAATACAAAATACAACATTTTGAGACTATATCATAAGCCGTACGGAATTAGTAACTGCATTATATTCATGTTTTCTTATCGATAATTATAAACCGGAACACGTATCGATTATTTGAAACAAATTTGATATGTAACTTTTACACATGCGCGTTCACACATACGGACAGACAGACGGACGGGCCATTATGTGTAGGTGGCATCTCAACCAAGCCAATAGAATATGTAGATCATATGCTGAAAATTTCATTAAAATCCATTAATTAAAACACACGTTATTCAATAAAATGTTTGGCCAATGCGGGTATTATTAGCTGCTACTTAACTTCAAATTTGCAACTGCCCGATAAAGCAGTGCGGTGGCTGCTTTGATAGAGGCGGCGCTCGTATGCAGCTCGGTCCGGGGTTCGAGGCCATCCCCACATTCTTTATTGTTTAATTTTTTTTTTTATTATGAAGTGGCGGTGTTGGTAGAGTTGGTGCACTTTGCGCAAATAATCCGGGTTCGAAACCGGATCTCGCAATGTCGATTTTTATTTGTTTTCTTTTTTTTTGAATACTCGATACAAACTACGGAAAATATTAAAAAACTCAGAGGACTGGGATCAGGGTATCTCCTAGTCGGGCACCCCGACTAAAGCTTTCTTACTTGTATAATTATGAAGTGGCGGTGTTGGTAGAGTTGATGCTCGTTGCGTAAAAATTGTGGGTTCAAATCTTGGTGTGGTAATGTCAGTTTTTATTTGTATTTTTATACCCTGATCCCATTAAAAATGGGAAATCAGGTTATAATGGTTTTGTGCAAATGTATGTAACAGGCAGAAGGAGGTATGTCAGACCCCATAAAGTATATATATTCTTGATCAGGACAACAAGCCGAGTCGATTGAGCCCTGCCCGTCTGTCTGTCTGGCCGTCTGTCCGCCGTATGTGGGAACGCG